GTGATTCAAGGAAATTGATTTACCTGCTACATTATTTGACAATTATTTTAAAAACGTCTTTATTTTTTTGAATTTAAAAAAATATCCATTTCTTATTTATTTTATAGTTCCACAATTTTGTTGCTATAATCTTGAGTCTGTCTTCGATTAAAATAATATACGAGTATTTATAACCTATATACAAATACAAATAAAGTTATTCGTTCAATATTTCTCAGTGATGTGCTTATGACAGATCGCATAATATGTTGAACTGCAGTAGATAAATCTAATTATTAAGGGCACTTATAATAAAATAATATATAAACATTCACATCTGCAGTAAGCTCGATGCTTCAACAAACGTTAATAGAACATTAAATCAAACCAATTTAATAATTCAAAGAGAGTAGTCATATATGATCATTAGGAATATACATATTGTTTTAAATTTGACTCAAAAATTGATAATTTGTTGCAGCAAACAATAAGGGAAACTAATAACGTATTTTTTTAATCAAAAATAACAATCGATTTATTATTTTCAATAAATTATATTTTTTGTTTTATTTCAAATTTTTATTAATTCAAATTAAATTCTTTACTAAATTAAATTATTTAATTTTTACGACAAATTTTATTTCACTAAAATCATTTTTTAATAATAATAAGATTATTCATATTTTTGGTAAATATTTCAATAAGAATCGTAAGAATTTCTAGTTTAGCCTTTTGTTAGCATAACGCGTAAGATGTCACATGTGTTTCTTATTTACGTTATTAATTTAAAAAGTTTCTCAGCCTAAACAAAAGGTTTCTATCTAATAAAATAATTTTTATAATGTTTGTTTTAACGACATATTGTTTCTGGTTATTGTGGAAATTATATTAAAAATACAAAGGATAAATTATATTATCTTATAAACGGCATTAAATTAGTTTAAATTAGTACATTATATTACATTATACTAAGAATATCACCATTTTTTTTTTTTTAAATTGGAGCCAAATCAGTAATTGAGTGTGTGTAATTAATGAATAATAGAGACGCATCTTACATTACTTACGTAAATAGATTTCTGTATACATTATTATTTAAAACAAATTATCAATAATAATTATTAACAATTCATATGTAGATATAATATTATAATGAACAAATATAATGGCTTATCAACAGTAGTAGCTGCGACATCATAGCCAATGCAGAATAAATTAGCTAAAATGTAAGGACCAAAAGCCATATATTTGTTGTATACAAATAACTTTTTCATTTGTTTTGACCACCAAGGTAAAATATAACTCGATTATACAGTTTGTTAGTTGAATATAAGTCTAAATTCCGTGTACTCTTTGCAGCAACAAATTATTAGATTTATTTTTCCAGAAAATAAATATGTATATATTTGATACAGTTTAAGGCATTTTAACGTTTATGTGTTTTTTTAAAGTACTTATATATTCAATACGCAAAAATGTTTGTATTTTATAAATATACGTGAAACAAAATATATATTTATGTGCTCGACAATATTTTAGATTCCGATTAAAACTATTAGTTTTATAGTGATGTATTTTTTTTTTTTTAGAAAACTTTTTTTTGAAGCGATTAAAGCGTTAAAAAAAGTTGTATGTATAAACCCTTTACTGATTGTAAAGTTGAAAGAAAATTGTAAGCCATAAAAAAATAAATAAATAAAATAAATTTTAAGTTTGAAAAAACTTTTTAAAGGCATAAATGTGTTTTGATAATAAACATGAATGAATAGATTTATATTTGGGGGTAAAGTATGTAATACAATTTACAAGCATGCAACATTTTTATTCCATGTAATAATCTAATAACTGTGGTATCTATTTTTAAACAACTTAAAAATATTTGAAAAATGTAGTTTAAAATTAATATCATATATAATTAGATAATCTCAATAAATATTTATTTTTAATCACTTCTAATATACGTACTGTACGTAGTAAAATATTGTTATATATTTTAATACAATAGTAAATCATCATATTGGAAAAATAGCTCAATGTACTCGTAGATCAATTAAAACCTCAATAGCTGAAGTTCTTTTATATTGCTTGCACTTCTGTGGAGTTCCCTTAATCCAATTTTTAACTTTGAGTTATATTACTTATATTTTCAATAACTTTAATTACCTACTAAATAAGAATTTCACAAAGAACAAACTTTATTTTAAAACACTATCTGTTAAAATCAAATATTCTGTTTTTTTTTTTTAAAAAAAACTTTAAAGTTAAATTAATTAAATTAACTACAAATCCAATAAAACCATTCATCATTATTCTTTCTCTTTAAATTGGTGTAACAGAATATTGTTAAATATGTTTAGCAATAGTCTTAAATTTATAAAAACATTGAAAACCTTAATCATAGAGATATTGTATATTAGGATATTATTATAAATGTTCAATATATTATATAAAATATTTTAAAATACGGTAGTATATTATTATTTTTTTTATTATTATTCAATAATAAATATTGTGTATTTACAACTTAAAAGTTCTTATTTTATTTGTGTCTCCCGTCATTTACAAGGTAATTAATTTTCAAGATATTAAGTTAAATAATTGAAACTCAAACAAAGATCAAAAACAATAAATCACAAAAGCTTTATTTAAAATGTATGTATTGGTGTATTACGATAAAAATTAATTTTATTACTTAACCTAATCAATATAATAATATTTTAAGTTAAAAAAAAAAAACATTATTCAAACCTTAAATATTAAAGTTAATATTTTCTTGATAAACTTGCTGTAATATATCATATTGTATGAAAGTGGTTGTTTATTTTTACAATTAATAATTATAAATATGCGTTGAACCAATTTTCAAACGACTAGTTATTATTTTATCACAGTTATAAATCTTAAAATTTCTGTTTTAAAGGAGTGCTTGGAAATTCATCATCTCTCCCCTAATCAGTTCATCACTGTTTTCAATTGCAATATTATTCAATGTATTCACTATATAAATATAATTCGTACTATAATTTATAAGTACCGAATCAATTATACAAAATTTGCTTAAATTAAGTATAAAAAAATAATTGAATACATTCAAAAATTATCTGTATCTGTAATCAAGCCCAAATACTTTTTGTAAATCTTTTGGAAAATTAGTATCTTTTTCTTTATTATGATTCTTATAAAAGTTCTAGTTAATATGATTACTTTTTATTTAAACTAAATACCTCGAAGACTTTTAACTTAGACAAATTTGGAAATAACTATATGTACTCGTTAGTATTTAAGATTTTTTTTTTTTTTTTGAAAGAAACTTTTTATAGTTTCTAGAATAGAAAATTTGATCCAATAAATTTAAAAATATAAAATTCTTAGTATTTTTCAAAATGATTAGAAAAAAAATTACTAAAAACTAATTAATAAAAAAAAAATTTAATAAGTTTATAAAATTTTAACTATGACACCATGATGAATATTCAAACAAAAATAAAACTTTTAAATTATTATACTTTGTTGTAATATGAAAAATACTAATGGTAAGGACTAGAAACTTTTTATCATTATATAATATATTATTATTTTCTATATACAAAAAAATTTTCAAAATATTTAGGCTAATTTTAAGCAATATATGGTATAAACTTATTAATTCCATTCTAGTCTATGATGGTATTGACTACATGTTAATCATAAAAATACATTAAATAATTACTATAATATTTTTTTTTTAAGAAGTCCAATATATTATACATAACATTGTTGTTAAAATTAGTTTAACCTATTGTATAACCAATAGAACAAAAAAATGATTAATAATTATAAAATAGCATCAGGAATAAATTTGGTCTATTGTGTACAACTATTTATCAAAAAATATTTTAATAATAATACATTTTAATTAATTTAAATAACGCGTAATATAAGTAGACACTATTAGTATTACTATTGATATAATTTTTTTAATCTATTAAAGTTACCTAACAGTAAGACATTGATCAATTTACATCATTTTAATAATCATGATTATACTCTAGTAAAAAAAAAAAAAGAAATCTATAATAATGTAATATATTTTAGAATAAGTTTTAAATAACAATTTTTTTAAAGTTAAAATGTAATTTTTTATTAAATAGAAATCAAATTATTAAAAAACAAAATTTTATGCTAAAAGTAATAAACATAAATTTATTATTTTGTATACTTTTTAATTATTTAAAATGAACTTCGAATTTTTATTATAATATGAAAAAAATTATTTACTAAATTGAATAGAATTTTAAAATAATTAATATTTTGGTTTTTTAATAAATAATTTAAATATAATTTAATATGAAAAACAATAAACTAATAACTAAATTTTACTTTTTATCATTATCTGATTGATATGTATAAATAGACATTTAACTGAATTTTAAACTATAAAATCAAATATTTTTTCTATTCTTTTAAAACTAAAACAAAAATAGGTTACCTACAATTTTTAGTTAAAATAAGTATTTTAACACTTAAAACGTTCATGAAAAAATTTGAAAATATTAACAAAAACTAGCTGCAAAATTGTATTATTAATGTAAATCCAATATTAAAATTAAATATTAAGTATTCTATATTTCATATCATATACTCTTGTATACACCGTTAATCAATGTTTATTAATTTATTTGTAGTACCTAGCTATTATTACTTAAAAGTAGATTATTTTTAATTATGTCATCCCATTAAAATCGGAAATTATCAAATTAAAACGGTGAATTATTATACAGTATATACAACATATTTGATAATATGCAATTCAAAATGAAGCAATAGATAGTGATATGAAAACGATTACGATAAATCCCTGTTGCAAATATGTTTTATATTTTTTATGGCCAAAATAACATAATAATAACAACAACAATAGATATAGGACGATTATCTACACCACGTTATAAAGAAAAAACAAACAAATACGTGTAATACTTGTATAATATAACAACTTTTTTTTCAATTTAATTTTATCACATTATTATTAATACACGTACTTGAACGTGAGCGGCGAATGCGGAGGCGAGTACTGGGACGATGACGATCAGCAACAGATGGTTCATGGTGGTAAAAACGTGTGGTTTCTGACAGCGTGTCCCGCGATACGTGGTTTCAGTACAAATGACAGTGTCCAAATGCCGACTACCCTTTTATACAACCAACGCCACCACCATCATCGACCCCCAGCAACAACCCCTCTTGGATGACGCAAAGGAGGTGACGGTACGCGGTCGCAGAATCTAGTCAAAAACATAGCACTACACACGATAATATTGTTACAATAATATAAAATTACCTATATTTGTATATTATTATTTATAATATTAATTATTACCGTACATTATTGTTTAACCTTATTTACAATACCTATGATATTATTAGTATTTAATAAATTCTTATATATTTTATTTATACGTTATTCCAACTCAGAAATAGCTCAAGAATATTTTTGAGATTTTGATAATAATACTTTTCATTAATTTGTATACGTACTTAAATTGTGTTCCAATTATGTTATTCTAAAAACCACCATATAACACATAACGTAATTACTTGACGGAGATTTAACTTCAAATTAAAAATTTAGCTAGGTATCTAGCAGAGTAGCGAACATCTATTAAATAATATTTTATATACTTTAAATTATAATAAAATATTCTAAATAATTCTAATAACAGTTATAGAAACATACAAAACAGAATAACTTACAAAGAACAGGTACAAGTTTGTTCGGATTCCAAAATTTCTGGCCAATTATATTACTATTCCAGATTTTATATATTTTATATTTTTATATATTATTATTCATAATATTTTCTTTAATAAAATAAGGGGCGTAGCATGCACATATAAGCATTTTAAGCACTACTTACACTTTAAATTCAAAGGAAAAATAAATTTGATCAATAAAGTCTAATAGGTACATAATAAATAATTTTTTAAATTTTATTTTTATTTATAAAATATTTAAAGTTACAGGCAGTGGTTTTTGTTATCGTTTTATTGGTGCTGTACGCTATCCACTGATTAGTGATTACTAACTATTTATGGAAAACCATCAATTAACGGTCTATTTATAGATAGTCTATATATCATAATATGATCGAACTATAATAAATTCCACTACAGTGAAACACATTCTGAAATTGCTTACGCGCAACTATTGTTTTCGAATTGCCCAGTGTCATAGAGGGGGTCAAGTATATAGCTAGCGTTTGTAAGCACATCTGATATTGCTTATGCTAAAAGCGTAGTAGCACCCTAGTTCGACACGTTGTAGTAGTTTAGTAGTTTTATTCTTATCTATACTATCATTGGCTTTATAGCCTTTTACAGTTATATAAATTCTTTGTTTTCTTGAATTTATAACATGTTAAAGGATGAAATTTATTTTTACATAATTTATTATTACTTATTAGGTATAAACGTATAGTATTATTCTAATCACTTATGAAAAAAAATATCACTGCTTACATCCTCTAAATACTCACGATCATGCCACGCCACTAAATAGAAAACTAAGCAATCTCTAAAATCAATAAACCAATAATTTTTCCAACAATTGTTTTTGTTTTCATCCTATGACTGTAGGTACAATGTTATGCTTATACATAAGTAAGAAAAATCGTAGTTACAGAGATACTAACAATTTATATATAGGTATTCCTCTACATTTATTTAAGTCATAGAATATTTGGTGGTACATTTTTACTTCTTTTAATTAGATCCTGTAAGCATCTATCAATAAAAGGTGAATGCTGTGCGCCTCACCTTGGCTCGTCATACTCGGGAAACAAATGATCAGATATTATAACGAAACATCGAAAATCGCATTTATAATATGCGTACGTGCAAGACTCACCTGCTGAATATCCAAGCTCTGCACGCCGCCATTATTTATATTATCTATTTGCACCTGTGAACGATGGCGTAAAAATGATTTAATAAATATTAATAATAGATCGAACTGCACAACGAACGTGGAGAAAAAGACAATGACTTCCATGTTTTTTACGACTGATTACTGACCCATGACGGAATTATTGCGATTGACAAATGGAACATATATAATATTATGTACAATATTGATTATGGACCACGATCAATACATTTATACCTATTTCCACTATTTAGTCGACTAACTGCTTAACACATTCAAAGCGACTGGCGTTCATTTATTTAACCTATATAACGATTAACCATGATATTTTTCGTTGGTCATCAGAAAAACAGTGACCGTTTACTATTTACTTAGAATCCCTTGCGCACTCTGTCCGATTATCAACGGTTCTTGATCAAACTATTTTATCGTCGCCATTTTGTAGACGAGTATAAAGTTAAGATTAATTATTTTTATAGACATTTCCAATTAAATGTTTAAATGAAAAATAACATTTTCAAATAAAACTTATATTATATAAAATATACCTACAATATTATTGAAAAACAATTAGTTCAACTTACAGTACCAATACCATACATCAGAGATAACGAACCTTTATGTACTCGTGCAGCGTGTTAAAAAAAAGTTTTAGCTATATTTTATTTACTCTGTGTGTTAATTAATTTGGTGACTTTTTTTCTTATTAAACCTTAAAACTTCTTACGAATGTCTTTTTTAATTTAATACTGTGCGTGTCACCATCTTCACCATAGATTAAAATATATACTAATGCCATACTGTTATTTAATAATAATTATAAAAAAATGTATTTATACTTTAAATAATACATTTTCCCAGGGCTTGTACTAACAAGTAGGTAGTTGTACACAAAATGTACAGTTCTAAATTAAAATGTGCAGTTTTTGTTTAAATGTTGTGCAGTTCATAAAAAGTGCTATGAATTATGATTCAAATTTTTAATGCTGTATGTTTTAATGCTGATTTCTATTTTCCGAAATTAATAATTATTAAACTAACGATTAAAACATTGATAATAAATAAATAATATTTATCTATCAAATATCAAGAACTATCAACGGACTTTATTGTAATGGGACAATGACACGTTTATGCGTCTAAAACTCTAAAACGTTACTTTTGAATCTGCTATAATTCAGTCATTTTTATTTTAATAAACTTGCTGATCTAGTCGCATATACCATAGAGTCTATGATATAGACAATCGACTCTAAATTTAATGTTTGGTTTTAGTTTTCGTTATTCTTAGATATCTTATGATAATTGTTGCTTCTGATTATTTTTGTTTGTCTTCCAAGAACAATATATAAATAGTACTATGGTCTATGTATATATTTGTAGTGTATAAAAGCTGTATAATTACTAATTTTTGTTCATTGTTTAGTCTTCACTTTTTACTTCTGTGTCCAGAGGTCTAACCAATAACCACCATATGAACTCAACACAGGTAGTACAGCAGTTTCGGTTTTTTAGATAGTTACTATTTTTTTACCAAATCATTTATGTTTTTAAAGCAGATATTCGTAATGTAAAAAATAAATTTAAATAATACAGTAAAAAAATATTATTAAATTAAACATTGATCAAACCAATATTTTAAGATTCTAATACCTACGTCAATTGTGATATGGATGTACAACAAAAAACATAAATTAATTACAAGAAGAAAAGCTAAGCTACAATATTATTTCAATGATGTATTTCCAAATGCTACAAATAAAAATTATCAAATCAAGCACACTCATATACTTTTCTACACTTTAAGAAGATAATCTAATGAGGAAAATCGAACGGAATAGCTGTCCACGGTCAGGTATTATTGACTATTGTATTAAATATTCTTCAGAAATTCCCTCCCTATAAGCGAATATCTGCTACCCAAAATCTGCGATTTGATTTAGGTATACCGTTTACAGACTATATCAGCGGTGCTTAACCTTTTGTAGATCATGGACCCTTGATCAAAGATTTTTAGAAATTGTGGACATCCTTACCAATTTTTTTTTTTTAATACTTTTTTTTTACAAAACATTTCATGTTATTATAACCAAAATTATAATAATTATTTAATATTAATAATTATATAAGTAGACATAACAAAACATATAATTTATAATATTTTTGTTACACCTAATTGTTCATAAAAAATTTATGTAAATAAGATAATATAGGTTTATCTTTTATGTAATAAGATATATTACATATGAAAAAATAAATAAAAATCCAACATTATTGTAACAATGTCGCGTTATGTCTCGTATTGATGTATGTTATGTGTTAAGGCTACCGTGGACCCCCAACATGAGTGTGACGGACCCCCAGGGGCCGCGGACCACAGGTTAAGAATCACTGGTAATACTATATACCCAATAGGAGTAAAACGCGGTCATCAGACCGATATAAAAGCTTATAACAATTCCAAAATCTATACTGTAATGTTATAGGTCTACATAATATATTAACAATTAACATAACCGTAATACGGACATTTTGATTATTATAGTTATTATATTTAAATTTACTTCGTTGAATTACTAATAGAAATGTTTATAATTTGATAATATAGTAGGATATAAATATTAAACGTTTTAAAATATACAGTGAGCAATATTTCTATTTATAATCAAAAACAGGATAATACATTTTGCTGTATTTTTTTATCTTTTATTAAAACAAAAAATAATTTAATTTAAGTCATATAAATATAGAATATTCATTATACACTTAAGAAAAAAAAATGTAAAATAATTAATTGAATTACAGTGATGTATTTAAAAAATTTCAAAGAAGCAGACTGTATTTTAATATTCAGAAAACCAATTGTAAATAATTATTATTAATAAAGATAAAATCTTTACTATCTCTTTATTTATACGCCACGTAGAGTATTAAATTATAAACATTTTTATTAATAGTTGATAATTTTAATTTTATGTTTACTTTAAAAATCTATATAAGAACCACTGGTCTAGACCATTGACTAGAATGTATTCGTATTTTCTAACCATACTAACCAACTCATAATCATAGAATTATTCGTGATCCACGTTTCACTGGTGCAACGATAATATCGAGTTTTTCCGAAACCAACAGTCCAGCGAAATAGCTAAAAACTAGACTAAATACTATCTGAGAGACAAATACGATTAATAAGAACGTCTACACATAGATGTTTCACGCAATAAGTTGTAATGTACCTACTTAACAATATAATAATAAACAATAATTAAATATAATCTAACTACGGTGGTAAACTATTCATGGAATATGTCCATCCCACGGGCAACCGTTTTCCCGCGCATATTCCAGACATGAGTCGTGCCCGTTCGACGCGGCCTCGTCACACGTGATCATGTCCCACAAGCAACCGTTACCGTGCGCGTACGTCAGACAATGGAGGTGGCCACCGGCTGCGGCCGCTTCGCACGTCGTTTTATCCCACAGACAGCCGTTTTCGTGGGCATACGCCAGGCACGCCAGGTGGCCATTGGCCGCAGCTTCACAGCACGTCGACGAGTCCCACGGGCAGCCGTGGTCGCGCGCATACCGCAGAACGTCGATGTGCCCGCCGGCCGCGGCCGCCTCGCACGTGGCCGCGTCCCACGGACACCCGTTGTCCTGGAGGTACGCCAGACATTCGAGTTGGCCACGGCCAGCCGCCTTCTCGCACACGATCTCGTCCCACGGACAGCCGTGTTCCCGGGCATACTGCAGGCACTGCAAATGGCCGTTGGCCGCGGCGTACTCGCACACCGTCACGTCCCACGGACAGCCCTGTTCGCGCGCGTACTTAAGGCACTCGAGCTGTCCGTTGGCGGCCGCGTGGGCGCACACGGCCCGTGTCCACGGGAACCCGCGACTTTCGGCGAACGCCAAGCACTCCAAATGTCCGCTGGCAGCGGCTTTTTCGCTCATTGAGTCGGCTGCGCCGTATTTTTGATTATTGCCGGATGGTATGGCTTGAAACGGAATCGGCACGAGATCGCAATGTGAAGTGATGGTATTATAGTGGGGAAAAATTGTCGTCGACCCTTCAAAAAATAAATGACGTTTGAATATTATTTTATTTATTTTACTAAGATAAACGTCATAATTGGCTGAAATATAAAATAGTATATATTATTAGCATAGATGTATAAAATAATAAGACAACAAATATTGCAATTATATAAGCAAAATAAATATAAGCCTAAGATTCAATGAAAATTTAACAAACAACATAACCGGCTTACTCATAATATAGAACACATGTTTATAAATAAAAGAAGTAAAGCTCTCAATTATTTCTCAGTATTAGAATCCTCTTAAGAGGTTTATTATGTACATAATTAATCCAGTGAGTTTCAATAAAAAAAAAAAAAGTAGGACACGTTCGTGAATAATATCGAGGTATTATAACAAACACATTAAATAAAATATTTAGAAAAAACCTTTCCAAGTCCTGGGACTACTATTTGAATAAGTACTTATGGAGCTCAAAATTCTCACTCCCTTCACAAGCATTATTAATATTTGCCATACCGATCGTTCGATATTGTATGTGCAGACTCGAATTAAAGGATAAAAGGTGATCAACTAGTGTGGTATTTAATGATGTTATACGAGTACAAATAATAAGTTACAATAGTTGGGTTTTATAAATAAGAGTAACTGGGGCAACAATATTAGAGTTTGTTATAACCTTTATATTCGTTTTAGGCCATATTACTTACCTGCATTGTTTTTAAATTTATTATCATGGTAAAAATCAACATCTTTAATATTTGATCCTGTCTCGTTCTTTAGGTATCTCAATACATCGATACAACAAGGTTGAATATCGATTTTTAATGTCTCCAAATTATCATAAAATATTCTATCATCATCGTCACAAACAGAGTACGCTAACTTGGCAAGAGAAAACATTTCACAACTGTGAAAAACAATATAATTTTAATAATACATTAGTATAACAAATATGTTTAACCAAAACTATACACAAAGAAGTATAAAAGAGGATTTAATCGAATCAAAGAATTTTGATTATTTAATTTAAGTATTAAAATATAAAATATTTGAAATAATTTAAATTTTCTAACTTTTTTTCTTTACAATTTGTATAATATATAAATATAAATATTATATGAACTTTAATACTGTAATTAATATTAGATTAATAATAAAAATAATTATAAGTGATACAGAACCATGCTGCAGTAAAAACTACGATTGGTGTAATCAGTCTAGTGAATCCACTGTCGCAGTAAATTCAAAAAAATAAATGATAAAAATGAATGTTGACTAAGTAGTACCTAAGTATATTAGATAATATACTAAATCCATCTAGATACAGTATTAGTAATTTTATTCAAATTCACTGTACTATATTCAATATCCTTACTACATACCTACTGCAATAATTATACACATCAGTTCCGTTCAACGTTGATTTAATAGTGATTCTACAATAAATATATATTCAAGAAAAACATTTTTCTAAAATAAAAATAAGATTGATAATAATATCTCTAAAGCTTGTACATTTTTTTAAATAATACTGGGAACTACCAATTATTCAGACTTGATGTATCTTGATAGACGGATCGAGACGGAGACATGATTTTCGGGACATTAAAGTAGTACAACCCACGGGACCTTTAGCTTGTCTACCCGATCTAATTTTTTTCCATGTGACAGAAAATAACAGTAAGTTACCGAGTGACTGTAGCCCTCGAACAATGATGTCACCGCCTGAATCCCAAAAATTTTCAAAATACTTTGTAATACACTGTGGCAACTGATAAAAGGACAGCCAATTGATCTAATATCATCAGCTATAAGTATGTATCATCCTACACTTTTGGAAATTAGATTTTATTAAGTGATGAGTAAACATAACTAACCAGAAAAATTGTCAACTTTAATAGTATTTCTAAAGCCATACTGTTAGTTCTACAGCTAGATTTATAAGGTAAGGGACCAACGTCCTGTGCAAAATGATAACATATGTCATACTTTTCATCTTCATAAACAATTTTCTTATAATTTAAATTTAATTGTGAATTGCATAAAAATTACAGAACATTTTTATTAATTTAAATGCCACTAATGAAAATAATCAGAACTACAGCAAAAATATAATGCATCTTCTACGTTTAGCAACTTAATAACGATAAACTTAAGCATAATTACTATAGACCATTATAAATTGAACCCTTTTAAATTATACTATTTCATTATTGAAAGTTCACTTAGAACCTAAACAATTGAAAACAAACAATTCAATGAAAAATTTCATCAATCAAACATTTGATAAAATAAGTACATATATTTAATTTAAGTTAATATATAAAATAGAAATATTTGTTACTTGTTAGTTTAGATTTTATAAAATTACAGTCCTTAAGGTATGAACCTATAATAGAATCGAAATACCTTTTTATATCTGTTGCCTCAATCCTTTAGTCACGTTTTTTGTTACCTACTAAATATATGTAGGTATTATTGTCAATTTTAAATGCGAAATGCTATAAGACGATATTTTATTTACATCAAATTACATAACTAAATCTATTATTTCGTATGTATTATTATAATATATAGATTACTATAGTAGCCAATGATTATTACCACACTATTGATAATTTTATCATTTTATTACCTAAATCTAAAATAAAATAATAAATTTTTTTTCTTGATAAATTGTATATTAATGTTGGGAAATAAATTCAAGGATTTTGATTTTTTTTTCATATTTTTCACGAATTGAATAACAATTTAAAAAATTATTTTCTTCTGATACATTAAAATTAATATCAATATGTTTTATTTAAATTTTGTTATTCTTTATTCTTGCATAAATTTCAAAATATTTGTTTTCACTACAATTATATTCTTTTTATTTTTATTGTTATTATTATTTTTATATAATTAATTATTATCATTTGTAAATTTTATATCTGTATTCTATACCTATTGGGTATTTATTGTTCATAAATAAAAAATTTTATATTGGTATTTCACTATGTCGATTTTTAGTTAGTCAATATAATACATAATAATATATTATAATATTATAATAACGATCAGTGGCGTATTTAGGTTTTTGTCATGGGGGGGGGGGGATATGACACTAAATTGTGGTATTATTTAAGTATTGTAAAAGATATACAATGTTTTATGTTTTACATACCTATACCAAATGAAGATACCAATGAGAATATTCTACAATATATTACGAGTATAATATTTTAATTCTAGCAAATTTAATCAATTATTGATAAAAAAAAATAATAATAATAATAATTTTTTAAATAATATGATGACTATAATTATTTGTGTGTATACAGCCTATGGGAGGGATTTATCTTCTTGATTCCTCCACCGTAAATACGCCACTGATAATGATTAAATTTTGTTAATTTGACATTCTACAATTTTATAAAATACATAGATTCTTAATTTACTTATAGAAAAGAGAAATCGGAGTTTGAAAACGGCGCTTTTTGTTAGATACTGTTTGTTTATAAATCAATAAAACAAAAGACTAGCTAGTTAATTCGTTAACATACTAAAAATTGTTTAAACTTTATTCCATTAGCTACAAAAACAAGGAGCGTTTTTTTTTTCAATAAATTAAGGATAATTTTTATGTTATATTGTTTTTAGTAAATTTTTTACTGACTTAAAAACATTAAGCTCAACAAAAATCTTTTTTATTGGATTTTTAGTTGTTACAAATAAATAATAAAATAAAAAATACTATACATAGTCATGAGTTAAATAAAACAACAAAAAATGTTCTTAACAAATATTTATCACTTAAACTAAAACAATATTCTGTGTATGTAGTATTTTTTCAGTAGATATATTGGATAATATTTTAGTTGTTTTTTAGTTATACCCCTAAGCCCCCTGATTTTTGCCAATGAATAATTTGCTAAATAATTGTAACCGAACGGTAACAATTGTACTGATAATAGTAATAACAAATACATACATATAATATCGGTTCGTAAATATAGAGTGTGTGTAACATTAAGTCAGCATAAAAACTTAAACTCAGAGTCAATAATTTTCCACGGTCCGATAAATAATCGAACCGGAAACGTCGATGGGAAAACTCTTCGACCAGATTAGGTTAAGTTTACTAACTACTAATTATAAAGAAGGTACAATACGATTATGGAAAGTAAATGAAATAAATCGCGTTCATCGTCACGGCGGTGATTATTAGCATTAAAATCACGATTGTCGCCTAGCATAGTGTGCATATACTATTTAAATACGGCTGGTTGAGGCACGGTGACCGTATACGAAAGATGAATCGGTTACAAGCAACTACTATGCTGCTAGTGGCGTCGGCAATAACGGCAGAAGTGACGACAGCCACTGGACAACTTGATCATATGTCAACTCAACAAACACATTGGTTACATGGTTGCGGTACAGCCGAATGGTTACAGTGTGTGACTCAAAATGTGATCAGGACGTTTAGGATGTTGGAACAATCAGACCGTTTGCAACTAGCCGACGGCGTGCGTTTGGTCAAGACCTCTACAACGACCGACCGATCCACCAAGTAAGTACATTAATCACATCGTGTAATTAAACAACCTACCTATACTCGATAATATATAATAATAATAACAACGGGCGTATTTATGCAGTTAAATAATTAATTAAAAAGTCTATTATACACTATCATAGGGCCAAGTCACAACTGCGCTGAAAAAGTTCAAATATGCTCTAACCAACTTCTTAACAATCATTACAACAACTGCCGTAACAAAGAAAATGATTTTTTTCTTGGCAATAAAATCTCCGTTTAGGCCACTTCTATAGATAAGATATTCAACACAGACCATATTGTAGATACGTCGTGTTTTTATTTATTTACTATGGTACTTGATAAAATTGAGACAGGTTAGAATTCTCAAAAGATTACCTTTTTTGGTTAAGCCAAGTTCATCAGTATTGCTTTATAACGTCATACTTTTTCAGTGTATAATTACGTGTTCTAAATCTGCTACTGACGGAATAATAAATTTACTATTTTGTTACCTACATCTAGTCGTCATCAAACGCATAGGTAATAATTTTTTTTTTTTTTTATGAATGAATAAATAAATAATAATATATGTTATTATAAATATTATATTTACATTTAAATTTTGAATCTATTTAAAGGAAATTACGTAGATACTTTTAATTTGGTAAAATATTTATCATACATTTTGGAATTTTGTTTTTAATAATTATTTAAAAAAGCGAAGAATCTATTATAAAATTAGTCCTGTTATACATAATGTTATAATATTGTGCAATTTACATATTTTTCCCCATATATACATAGTTATAAATAGGTACCTGTAAACATTTTATACCGATAAAATCGTGTAGCTCTATGCCAATATAATAACTTTGTCTTGAACATAATGAAAATAGTTTCTACAGTCTCATAAAATTACTTTAATGTTTTTCCCGTGCTGCTTTACCTATTTTAATATTAAGTTCACTTAGCGAAGTTATTAATAAATTTTCAATCTGATTATTAAAAATTACGTAAAATCAATAGTAATATTTTTGTATTTTAAACATTTGTACATTGCGATATTTCCGAGTGAAGTTGGATAAATATGCGTACATTTTATACGAATATAGGTGAAGTTAACGAAAATCGTATATACATATATGATATATAGTTAATACATAGTCATATAATGTATTATGATAGTATTATTTCCTTTAAAACATTAACCTTAAGAACAAAGGAATATAATATCATGTGTATATGTATATTAATATCCCGTTTATTTTCTTTAATATTTTTATAAAATTTACAAAGTACTACTCGCGTAACATAGGTTTGCCATCCCTAGTATAGAAGTTAGATAATTTTGTACATAAGTCATTTATATTTTGGTAATATATAGGTAGACAAATAATTATTTAACCAATTTCAAAACTTGAAAAAACTGAATTAACGGTTGACTTCGCTTACAACAAAAAGTGCAATTTACTTTAATAAAATTATGATTAAGCATATCCGTGGATGAATATTGATCTCAATTTAAAGTTGATGATTGAATCCGCTTCCAGAGACCTAAGTTTTTTCAGTCACCTTTGTGTTTTTTGGAATTCCACTGATATAAGATAATATTATAATAGTTTCCTCCGGTCAAGATCAACTTAGGCATCTTATTAAGCCTTATGTCATAGGAGTATACAATTATTTTTAATATGGAATTTTTCTGATCTTCTCAACCCATTCTTTAATGCTGAATTATTGTACTATTAGAGTAGGTAATCGTGTCCATATTCAACTAGAAATATAATTTTAAATAGTCTAGAATTTCTAGATAAAGCAAGCCTGGTACAGAAGTATTTCAATTTCGTAACAAGAAGAATAGATAACAATGATTGACACTCCATAAAGAAGATTTATCTTCAAATGCTCTAGGAAAGTTAGTTGATATAGTCATATAGAAGATTCGAATATTCTAAATACAATCATATCATTACCATATCGATAGTGTTCAAATGGTGTCATTATTTTAGACAGAAGACTCATCGTTCTTACTAAAGAGCTCTTTGCAATTGGCGAAGTAGTTTTGATAATTTAATTTGGAATAATATTAGCCTTCAATAACTTCAAAATAATTCCTAAGGTACTCCTTGAATAAAATGAGAATGCAATACAAATTGCACACAGGTAAAACATTTTGAGACATCAAAACGAAAGAACATGAAATGAGTTACTTACTATAATGCAAAAAAAAAAAAAAAATAACAACTGATTGCTTAAAAAGAACTAGATGATGGGGTTCATTCATTATAATTTATAAGTAATGAACTTACGTGAAAATCGTGAAAGTAATGGAAAGGTTGAAAAATATTACTCAGCTGGTAAGGCACTAAAATACGCGATCCACTATAAGTCAACAATAGAGTATAACAATTAACAACTCTAGTTTATTTTAAAATTATAAAAAAACAAAAAGCAATATTTAAATATATAAGTTAAAAAAACAATGCACAGTATTTATCACTATTTATAATTCAAAAAATATGGTATAAATGTATAATTATGATAATTAAATACTGATAATATAATAAATAATATTATATTATCCCAAAAATTAAATCAATCTACCGTAATACTTATAATAAATTAAATCACTTTTTAATAGTTATGTCAAAATAATTATCATAAAATCGATTTAGTCAATATAGGCTAATGACAGACCGTATTTTGCATTTTTCATATTCGATGTTATCATTGCATTAAAATTTGATACATTAATTATAGAAACCCACTCGACACCTACTAAACAGTATAATGATATCTAATTTTCACCTTTTTTGTTTATTTACATGAACACAAACTATACAAACAATTTTTTGAATGATTTTTTAATTTGCTATTTATTTATTATTAAATGTTTTGATGAATTAGTTGAGTGTAGTGAAGTGTCACTACGATATCCTGAAATATGTTGATCCACTACCCCATTCATCTAAACTATAAATACTTATAGCTAATTAAATAATTTCCTAAAACGTGAATACTTTTCAAAAAAATTAGTATTTACCTTTAAAATAATTACCTTTCATATAATATTGTGAATAATCCAAGTAGACAGTAATGTGAGTGCATAGTGAATTTTTCTACCTTTAAATATTAAAATAATTGTATTCATTATTTCTTATATAGTATGTACAATAATAATTATATTCATTATTTCTTTTATAATAAGTATAATAATAATTATTATTTTACTATCAAGGAATAAACTTATTTTCAATGACAAGACAATACAAATGTTTGCATTCAATATTCTCATCATTACTTTAAAGTCAAAGCAATTCAATTACCTATCTAATTAATAATTTATCCAAAACAAATAAAAAATAAACATTGAGATAACTATTAGTTAAGTTATGATTTGAACGTCTGCATCCAGTCTAATGTTTACATGAAATAGTTCAAAATATATGTTTTAAGTTAAAACTACAAAATTATTTACTCAAAACACATGTACGTGTTTTAGTGACAGAAAAATTAATGAGAAATAACTATAAAACTTTAAAATAAATTTAAAATTCTTAATATTGGATAATATATATATAAGAAATAGTTTTATTGTTTAATTATTTTTTATTATTTTAAGTTATAATAATAAATTTCTGCTGTTATTGACAGATTGACAAACTACAGAACATGTTTAAATTCTTTATTTTGTTATTCATCTTAGTTTATACACAGATTGATAATTAATAATAAAATTATATACGATTTTAATAACAGTTATTAATTATATTGTAATTTAATTTTTTTACCACGACTTTATGAGTTATGATTACAATTATAAAGGTACTTACATAATTATTTTTGCCTTGTTTTTTCGTAGTTCTGATTTAATTAATTTAAACAAAAATAATTGTGATATTAATATTCGAGAATATAAATTTAATTATTCTTATTTTATAACTTTATAAGTAACAGAAGATCAAAAAATAATCACAATACCTAATTAATAGTATAAGTAATATACAACATGGCATTCAAAATGACTATAATAAGGAAATAATTTAATAAGACACTTTATTAGACTATAGAGTTTTGGACGGCTGTCAGTGTACTTTTTTTCACCATATTGTACGTAGGCCTACGTTTTTGATAATAATATGTAATTATATTGATTTTAATATGCACTCGATGACTTTTAAACCTAGCATTGATATTAAAATTCCATTTACGTAGAACACAGCTGTATCTTCAAAAATCAATTTATTACTCTAAAGAGCTACTGATAATAATTAAATTTAAATTTAATATAATGCCTTATAAGTCACAAAATTATAGCTTCGTTGTATGTAATCCTATCAATACTAATTCGCCATAAAATGTAATTAACCATAATGTTTATTGAATAGTTGGTACCTACTTAAAAATTAATATTATTATTCAGAATCAATTCACTAGAAAGAAACCTTTCCCAAATTTATATAAAACTGTAAACGCAAAATTATAGGATAATATTCTCTGTTATCAAAACTGCTTTAACCCTCATATTTTATAATTGTTCTAAGTTGAATGTTCATATTTAATATTTGATGTTTCATCGAGATAGATAATTCTAATAGTTTGAATATATTTAATAATATAATACACTGTTGTTATTTCTAAGTCCATCCTATACGATGATTGGTAATAATAATCAAATAAATAAATATACATACCCACATAGATTTATAGAATTGATTAATTAAATCTTTACAGATTCACAGGAAAATGTAATATGCATAAAATGTACATTGCCCAATATACACATCTACTAATTTATCACTTTATACATAGGTACGGGAATCATACTTTTGACATAATCAACACAATGGTTTCATTCATCAATAGTCATTCGTTGCAAATTGATCTATGGACACCTGATAATAATGCCACCGCCGAAGGTATGCAATAATATTTTAATTAATATTGATAAACATTATACATTCTTATTGAAGATTAAATATACTTAAAGAAATTAAAATAAACCAATAAACGCTAAAATAAATATATATTATATTAAAATTTCTGTAAATACATGAATTTTTTATAAAAAAAGTATTAATATGATACTTGTGAATATAAGTAAATATTTATAGAAAACTAACTTACTTTTTTTTATTATTTCGAACTTTGTGTCTGTATAACTCATAATCACATATAAACAGGACGGAGATGTACAGTCAACAACGTACATTCTAAACGCCCAGGTTCAAAAAAAAAATACATAAGCCAATATGATAATATGAATGTAAATTAAATTATTTTGGTTTCTCCCGATGATTTTTATGAACGGAAATCGAAGACTCTTATTGCCCATATGGTCTTAACTATTACTATACGCACCATTGCAGCGTCATAGCATCATTATTATTGGAATTATACAATAAAAAAAACTTTAAATTACTTCAACAGCCACTTAGAGATTTCAACAAAGAACAAAATGAATTTGATATCAGCCAATTTTTTAACGAAACATACCTATTTTTTTGTTTATACATAGTACGATTCGTTACAATAAAGTTAATAATGCAATAAGAAATCTGAAAATATATATACATTATTTATAAAGTCAACTTGAAATCGATCATCACTCTTTTCAAAATATCTACTTTAATTTTATCCTTAAATTTGATTTTAAAACGTAAAAATAGGAAAATTTTTAAACAATAATTGATGACTGTTAAATGAAATTCAAACAAATTATAAATTACATAACATATTTAAATATATTTAAGATTGATTATTGTATTTTTATTTTTGTCTGTTCGTTGGATAAAAAGTTCTTGCTTTTTAATCGCTGGTTAATAATTTGTGATCAATGCATACAAATAAGCTTGCGTTCCGTAATCTCTATTAAATTTTATTCACACACGTCATACACTAATGAACACTTACTACGCACGGATTTGCAAGACACACTTAATACATTTTCTATATCAAACTTTTAAATACATAATATTAACTATTTTGTATAATATATTAATATAGGGTGTTTCATTAAGAACGCCGGATTTAATTTCGTTATTACTTTATTAATATTAAATATTTAGAACAAATTATATGATCATGAAGTATACACACTTCAATTTATGTATGGAATATAATATCTGGCATACCACCTCTGCTTCACTGGCTAGCTTCATTTCTGGCCACAAAAAAAATATCCTTAAGTTCTTCAATGGTTCGCGGTTTATTTTCATAGACGTGAGCTTTAACGTAACCTAGCGTAGAGATAACCGATGATATTTACAAAAAAAATAGGTCAGCCAACTGGCAATTTAAATCCGGCGTTCTTAATGAAACACCCTATACAAATTATGAAACGCACACATATATAATAATAATTAATAGTAAGGTAATAAAAATTAATACACCCAAAAAAATATGCAATGTAATTGAAATCATACATTTAATATAATTATATTTTTTGTTCAGATTGGTTCTCATAATAAATTTTAAATTATTATTGGTTTCTATTTATTATATGGCAGGAGGTCTGCATTTTTTATGAAAATTATAGATTCCCCACACCATTGTGGAATCTGACTTATACAAAAATACAATTTTTATATGTATAACACATATACTGTGCACAATACTATGATGTATATTATGATAAGATTTATGATACAGTAATTAATAATATTATTTCGAAATAAGAAAATGTAGTAAAATTAAAAATGTAAGAAATTATTTCAAAATGCTCTACTATTGTTATTTCATGAAAATTACGGTTATCACTATTTATGTTGATTAGTTTTGGTAAATAATTTAGTTATATATTATACAAACATATGTCACATGCACTTAAGAGAATACACTTGCAGGTCAATAACTCTATCTTCGTCTTATTTACGCATAATTTAACATTCAAAATTTCTGTCTTGCTATGTTATTAAGTGAATTGACTTAGTATTAATTTAAAATGTAAGAATATTATCTAAGACTGTGTATTACTAAACCTTTTTACCCTCTAAATAAATATTTGGTTTAAAAATAAGTTTTTAGGTACCTCTTAGAATTTTGAAATTAAATTTTGAAATAAGTTATGAGTATTTAAAAGTTTAAAATTTTTAATATAGTGCTCTTAATGAAATAGTTTATTTTTGTAAAGTGGATAAAATCATAAAAATAATTTAAATTGTGTTTATGTAATTCGTTTTTTTTTTACACAATGTGGATAACATTTTATGAAATTAAATTATATAGCTATGCAAGTAAGAACTTCATTTTTAGCCTTTTAGGTCTATGTTGTGTATAATAATACATATACTCGTAACTTATAAGATATTGGAATTTATTTGAAGCACATTAACAATCTCAATTATGCATGTAATTTAAAATACCAACCTAAATATTACTATTTAAAACATATTATTATGTTCAAATCTCTTAAACATTATATACATTTACAAATATTCATCATGAATATAATAATTCAGTTTATATAAGCCATCATTATGCAACTCATTGTATATACTATAGATGTATTATTTGCTAAAAATTGTAAATATTTATGTGCATAAACATAATTTATAATACTACCTATTTTGAGTTGAAGCAACGTGTAAAATGTAGTTTTTACTTTAGTATATTGACTCCAGAAGATATAATTTAAAATAACAATAATAAATGTATTTATGTACCAGCTACATCACACACGAGCCGCTTAACAGCAGCTAATAAGTATAATAATATTCGAAAAAAAATTACTTTTAGAACCCTGTGCGATATTTGAGTAAAATAACGTAAATAATTCAAATAAAAAACCTAAGGATACCGTCGATACTGAAGCTTCCTATAATTTCAGCTCGTCCATAAATTACGTTAATTGTGAAGGTGTAAATTTCAAAACTCGAGTTGTTTATCAACCTCAAGCCCTCCTCTCTCGAAATTTGGCCTATTACCTATGAGTATAAACCGCAGACATTGTTTTAATGTTTTTTTTTTTTTTTTGACGATTACTCCGGCAGGGCGCAGGCGTCACGCTTACCGGAAGGTGTTCCCGATCATCGTGAGCACATACATGATCATGTCGGCCATCCTGATTCCGATGGGTTTCATGTTCATGTCCACGCTGGGCGGTAAAGCACTGTTGGTCAGCAAAATGGCACTCATGGTGTCGCTAATGAGCAACATCAAAAAGATGTTCTCGTACGAGTACTACGTCCCGCCGACACCTCCAGCCGGTCACCACCACTGGAAGCGGACACTGCTGGCGCACCGCACCACTGCCGGTCCGCTTTACTCGTCGTACACATGAAATAGCAAAAATAATACCGCGAACACGCTCAGTCAAATTTCACGAGCGGCCCTAGATCCCCTGAACTTACAATCGTATATAAATTTGTATGATTTTTGTCACGAAACAAGTTTGTGTTTATAATTACGGTTTAAATATTAGCCATGAATAGGTGATACGTGTAACATTGTACGCGTTATAATTATTTATTTTATTTATTGTCAATATATAATACGAACCAAACGGATCTTGCGTTGCAATGGACATGTTGACGTTTGATTGAACTACAACCGAATATATATATACTTTTTTCTGTTTATTTTATTTTATAGGTACTTACATAATATCTAGTTGGTATATTACAGTTTCATAATATCGCGTGTACCTTACACGTAAACTGCAGTGACAAAATGAATCTTTTTCAAATGGTTGATGTATAAACTGCGATGTAAAACATCTAAACGGTATACACATCGACAACTCATACCTTGCTTACTCGTATAGTATACTCAACAACCATATAAGAGAAACTAGTGAACTACGATAAAATATGTACTATATTGATAAATTATTTTTAAAATACTCATAACTTATAAGCTTGGATAAGTGTCTAGTGATTTTTGGTAGTATACTAAATTTTATATAGAATATACCGTAACTAATACTTGAAGGGAAAAAAAGTAAATATCCCCACTGTTTCCGGTACTTTTATTTACAAATTGAGAAAAAACTAATAAAAAAATGACAGAAAATGGAAATATTTTTCGCGTATATACTTTAGTGTTTAAAATTTGTGTTTCTAGGGTAAAAATCACGAAATGCGTAATAAAAGATAACGAATTATTTATACAGCAGTTAAAAAGTCAATTATACATATATGTAATAAATAATTTTTTTACAAAAATTTGAAGTTCAAATTTTAACAACATTAGATATTTTAACAAAGAATAATAATTTTTAAACTAAAGATTGTAATTATTTTTTTGTAATTTGAAATATATACCTAAATCATAGATATTTGAAAATGTTCGCCATTATAGTCACTAGGTAGGTTATCAACGCAATGAAATTAAAAATAATATTCATTCTAATTTGAATTAGCTATTTATATCACGAACCATACACATCATTTTACAGTGTATCGAAATTCTCTTATAAGCTTTAACTTTTAATATAATATTATAAATTAGAACAATAAGTATCCATACTAATATTATGTGTAAAATTTTTAATAAAAATTAATTCAACAATACTCTATTTTTAATCAGTGTACATATTTTATAAATATAGGTGAGACATCATTAACACTTAGAATCGAATTATCCATTTTTGTGTACAATAATTATTTATCATTGAATTCAAATTTAATACATCTATTACAGTGACCTATTCAATAATGAGGTATACTTGAAATATACTATACAGCGAAACAAGTTTTTATGATTGTACCTATTATAATATTATTTACGTGTACGTTATACATTACGGTTGAATTTTTTTATTAAATATTAAATTCAATAATATTATTATGACACTGAGTTAATTTAAACTAAATATTTTATTATTACTATAAATATATATGATTTTGAAATTCATCACTTTACACAAAAAATATAATTTAAACAATTTTAATAATACTACATAATATATTGAAAATAATTTCAATTTATTTTTGTTTTAATATAATGATTATTTTGTTTTTGTAATTCAATGATGTAACTATAATAATCTGAATTAATGGCTAGATTAAGTAAATCAATGATTTTAAACTGAATGCTACGAAAATTCTCTAGATGTGCTGTAAAATTTTTGTAAAGATCACCGTGTTATGTTCAAAAAAAATTTAACTCTTGTAAGGTTAGATGATAACATAAACGTTAAGTATAGTCCATAGTAACGACTTAACCATTTCGAAATTGTTCAACAATCCTCAGATTGAAAAAATTTATGAAAAATGTTGTTTATAATTTATTTATATTATAAATTGGTCCAAACTGGTTCATACACTTTGTAACAACAATATTACAATTATTGTGTAAATTGGTCACAAAATTCATTTCAAACAGGTCATGTTTTTAATATGCTTGGGTAATATATATAGATAACTCTTAGATTCGCAGTGAACGAGTTATATACCGACGAAATTTCTGGTAGGTACACGAGTTATGTTCCAGTTGTTTTATTAAGTTATACACAAATTGTGTATTCGTGAATAATGCTTTATTTACATTTCATGTATGGACAAACAATTTAATTCAATTCACCTAAAAATACCTAGGGAGTAAGGACACAATTCAGTATTTGTGACATGGCTCGTTTGTAGCCCTTCAATTTTATTTCAGTATAGATATTATAATGTTTATAATTGTATTTTTCGTTATAGTTATAACATTAATAAAATATGTAACGTTCGTTATAAATAAAATAATATTTTAACGATTATAGTCCTTATAATATTATTCATTTTAGATTTTTATAAAAAAAATATCGAATGGAATAAGTTTAAAAAAAAATAAAGAACTGAAAATTAGTTACTAATTTTCAAAAATAAAAATACGATTTAATAATTTTGTTTTTAATTTTTAGTAATGGTATTGCACAAGCGCATCATGTATGCTATAAAGTTTTCAGTGTTCCAATTTTATCAGCGACCTCAGTTTTAAAAAATTGAATTATAAATCCTGCAGACTAATCAGTAAAAAAATCTGTTCATTTAATATTTTAACCATATGAAAATATAGACATAGCACATAAGTCATAAGTAATACTTTAAACATTCAACAAACAAATAATGATATAAACTGCAGCTTATAGACTACAAATTTAATAAATCTCGAATATTTTTATAAGTTTATCTTAATGTCGCTAAATATTGTTGATATTTAATAGGTTTTTGAGAATAATAGTTTTTCATTTTTAATGAAATCGAATTATATTCACTACACTTGCAGTAATAAGGCCAACTTCAGCGTTTCTAAATTTTAATATTTTTGTATAATAAATCACATTTAAAAAATTAGGTAACCATTATGTTGTCCAGTTGCAAATGAACCTTGTCACTAAGTCACTATAATATTTTATGAGTTATATTTAAATTTAATGATTTCATACAAAAAACGATTGTGAGCAAATATGAATTGTTAGCTTATATATAGTTATAATAATTAATAGTTGTATTCATATTACTAGTATATTTTATATTTTACGATATATTTATATTACTATTAAAATCATTTATTTTTCTATTAATAATATAGTAAGTTAAATTATTTTTTACTGAAAACATTGCATTTAAAAATATCATGTAAATAAAAAATAATAATACACGTTAAACCGTTTGAAATAGGTACCTATTATATGAATAATATTTTTTAAATTACTGAAAAATAACAAAATTTTAATATGAATCCAAATTAAAATGCATATTAAAAATACTGTGTTTATGTATTTGTAATATTTTTTGGTTAAGCTTAGTTATAGTATGAATTATTTATGAAAAACCTTGTATTAAATTTTCAATATACAATTATGAAAATTGAATATTTCATACATTTTCAATTAAAAAGTTATTTGCAAATTTATGTGATTTTGACAATTTTTTTCAAATTTCAAATGCTTATAACTAAAAATTGTGCTTGAATTATTTTTTAATAGCTATAATAACAACTTAAAAGAAACCTTGTAGTAACAAGTTGACTACAACGAATATTATAATTATTGATACTCACACGGTTTAAATTATAGGCGTGTGCAAGGGAAATATCGGATATACCATAACAACCCCTGTGATTTGCGAAGCAATTTTTTATTCTTTACTCTGTAATAAGGTACTTTACATGTTTAAAATTGTATCATAATAATGTCTTAATATTTTAATCATATTGATCTAGACGCTTTAAGTACAATAGCGTTGTGGGTTAATTTTGGAAATTACTGTTTATCGTGATATCGTCACTGAAATCACTATTGATGCTTAATTCATCTAATGTAGAGAAAAAAATTCAAAGTCGACCGTATAACCGCGTTTAAATTTAATATTTTTTTAGATAAAAAGTAATGATATGAAAATAACTTCTATAACTTATAAGCTATAAAATATATTTGGATAATATTTATTTATCTAATATTAAAACTATAACCATTTTTTAGAATAATAAAAAAAATTAAAACTGATCGAATTTATTTAATTTAGCGATTAAAATCGTAATAATTTTTTGTAAAATATCTAAAATTGTATGAAATAATGAAACTAAACTGGATATTAAACTAAATAAACTGGATATTATAATGTGGTTATCTATATAATGTATTTTTTGGTTGAAATTCATAACGCATTCGTATTGCCCATAAAATACGAGTATATAATATACAATACCTAACATAATAATACTTTTTTACGAAAATTGACATCATTTAAATTTAATATTTACATAATTTAATACTAATAGTTTATGAGAATCAGTAGAAAAAATTAAGACAAATTGACTTGTTTTTTATTTAATATTATCATGATTACCATTTACCACACATATGTACCTCATTTACCACTTATTCTACGACATTGCACTACTGAAATTTCAATGATAAAAGAGCAAAACGTCTGAGAATCAACAGATGTATGATGGGATAAATTTTAGTTGCCGAAGGTCGCTAATTTTACAGAATCCGTATTACAATATAACATTACGATTGTGTAACCCTAAGATGAGCATACGGACAACCGGTTTTCGGACATTAGAAGACCAAACAAAAAAATACATACATAAATAAAAAAAAATACAACTAATACTATTCAAAATAAAATACATTTAATAAATTTAAAAATTAAAAAAAAAAACTGTAATAAAAAAAAAACCTTGAAACAGAGATAAACACATTTATCGATAGGAATTTTTTTGTGTTCAGAATCCATAAAAAATTCTTTTATCCTAAATGACTGGTTTTTGAAAATATTTTTTACTGGAGACTATCCAATAAATTGAAGCACCCGTGAGTATATATAGTAAATAGCGACGTACAGTTAAGTATCCAGTCAATCGGTAGCTGTTGAACTGAACAGTACCTACCAACAAGCAACAAGGCAGAAGCGACAAGCATTATGGCTTCCAGGGCTATGGTGAGAACCAACAAGACATTATATTATTATATTATTTTATACTTACCTGAATGACTTGTGTTTCATAAACTATTAAAAATCTAAATAAAAAATATAAAATTATGTACGTCAATAAAGATTCAATAAATTTTGATTGTTTAAAAATTATATGATATGATAGAACTAATAATACTTATAGTATAGATAAATAATTTAGTATGCAAGTATGCTTTATCAGAAAAATATCAACATTTAAATATAGTAACAATATTTAAAATTATCTAAATTTTACTTAACATTTCAAAAGAAAATAATTTATTTTCGAAACTAATCATTAAATGTGTTTTAAAACTTTTTTAATACTCTTCCTTTTTAATTATTATTAAAATCTCTAAATAAAAATATAAAAAATGTTATGCTGTATAATAAAATATTGATCTAAATGGATTTTTAGATACTATAAGTACGTACACTATAAATATATTTTATTTTTTTATATTTCAACTAATTATTTTATTTTATTATTGATCGTAATATTGTGAGTTATTATAATATTTAAAATATCTATACAATTATAAATTTATAACTTAAAAATAAATAAAAATGATTTAACTGTTAAATTATAAATTAAAATTGAAAAATATAAACTTAATTCAAGACATTATAAATTGCACTAACCTATATACAAATAATTATAATGTACATTTACAAAGAAAAAATAAATTAGGTAGGTATTAAAAGTCTTAAACAAAATGTGTAGAGAAAAATATTTTATAATATTGTAAAATGCTTTACGTTACTTAAGTTATTAGTTATAACAACATAACGTATTAAAAGTTTAAAATTTTTTATATCTATTACTTATTTTATTTTCGATTAAATATTATCAGTATAATAACTGTAGTTACACAAAATTAAATTAAATTGTCATAATTTTTTTTTATACTTTTATATAATAATTTACATTATTAAATAATATCATAATGCAAGACTAACTATAAATGTATAATTTTAAATATCATTACTTTTTTTTAGATCCAAATAGCTTTTCTAGGACTCCTAGTTGTGTCCGCCGCATTTGCAGACGACAAGCCCGCAAATAAAAACGACAAGAAAAGGGATATTTTGTTCAACCCATACTCATTTGGAGCTAAAACTTTTGGTTCATCAGCCCCATTTGCGTTTGGTAACACTTTTTCAACAACTGCTGCACCATTCAAATCCGTTTCTTACAGCTCCACACCAGCTCCGTTCGTTTTCGGTAATTCTTTCGCATCGAATGCCTACTCCAACGCTGCCGCCGTTCAATCTTTCGATGCAGCATCATTCGTTGGATCTTCTACACCGGCTCCATTATACGATGGATCTTTCGGTTCTTCCACCCCAGCTGCTCTAATTGGATCATCTACCCCAGCACCTTTCTTGTCTGGTTCCGCTGTCTCTAGTGCCGCACTATCCGACGCGAGTTTTGCGTATTCTTCCACCCCCGCTTCAGTCTTATTGTCCGGAGCTTCACCAGTTGTGTCATCTACCCCAGAACCCGTCGTTCTGAACAGATCACCGGCTTTTGCTACATCATACGGTTCATACTACTCAGGAGCTTACGCCCCGTCGTACTCTCAAGGAACAATCGTCAAGTCTGACTCAATTAGCCACGACGCAGTTGAAATACCAGCCGTTGCTAACGCCCCTGCACCTCATCACGAAGTTAGCATCACTAAGGAAGTTCCAGTTCCTTACTACGTTCAAGTTGAAAAGCGAGTTCCATACCCCGTGTTGGTCCGCGTGCCACATCCATACCCAGTTACAGTAGAAAAACATGTACCATACGCCGTTAAAGTCAACGTAGATCGTCCAATCCACGTTCCTCAACCATACCCAGTAGAAATTGAGAAGAGAGTGCCATACCCAGTTGAAAAGCCAGTACCTTATGAAGTGAAAGTCCCAGTCGACAGGCCGTACCCAGTTCATGTTCCAGTTGAGAAACCTGTCCCATACGCAGTTGAAAAACCCGTCCCATACCCAGTACGAGTCAATGTTGACAGACCATACCCCGTGGAAAAACCAGTGCCATACCCATACCCCGTTGAAAAACCAGTGCCCTACCCAGTGGAAAAGGCTGTGCCATACCCAGTAGAAAAATTGGTTCCATATGCCGTTGAAAAGAAGGTTCCATACCCAGTCAGGTACGATGTCCCAGTCAAAGTACCAGTTCCAGTAGAAGTCAAAGTTCCAGTATCTGTGGATAGACCAGTGCCATACCCAGTAGAAAAGAGAGTGCCATACCCAGTCCAAGTCCCAGTTGAAGTCAAGGTTCCAGTCCCAGTTGCAGCCCCAGCTCAACGTTTCGCCACCGTCCACTATTATCAACAATCCCCAATCGCTTTAGGATATGAATCCAGTCAAGCTCTTATTGGCCAATCTGGTTACAAAGCGTTCTCATCTGGTTTAGCTCAAGGTACAGGTAGTGCATTCTACAGCTCTACTCCAGCGACTGGTAGTGCATTCTATAGCTCTACTGCTAGCCCAATAAGCACATACAGTTCCACTGTCAGCCCGGTTGGATTCGGCTCAAACCTGGCCCAAGAAGGTTTCATTAGTTCATCTGCAGCGCCTTTCAATTTCGGCCAACAATCTTTCTTCGGATCTTCGACACCAGCACCATTAAACACTTTCTCCGCTGACTCAACATCATCTGATGTATCATCTCTTATCAAGTCCGCTAGCATTGGATCTGCCAGTTTAGATTCTGTTGCTATTGGAGGTACATCTTTGAAGTCACAGGAATTGAAAGCTGACAACTTCGACATTGTCAAAAAATAAATCTTTGAAAACTTCAAGTTTACTGATATAGAATTTTCATTATTTTTAATCTGAAAAAATGTTCTACCTATGTACTTTTTTTTAATGCTATCTTTTGTTTAGCACGTAAACAATTTTTAATTAAGTATCAATAATATATTTTTAATAAAATAGATATTATTGATTAATTCATACATACATGTTTTAGTTATGCTTGCTGTATTTTATTTACCTTTTTTTAGTTATACATAAACAATATTCATTGATACATTTTTGGTTTATTACATTTTATAATATACTAAAACAATCTAAAAACAAGTATAATTATAGTTTATTGGTAGGTACCTATTTTTAACAACATGAATATTTTCATTTTTTGTTTGGCACCGCAGTTATACAGTTATACTCTTTGAAATGAAAAATGCTGTACTGACGTGTGTAATAGAAATTAATTTTAATTAAAATAATAAATACCTAGGTATTGATTACAGATTAATTACGACGTAGGTCTTTATATAGATATAGAAATTAGGATACTTTATTATTTTGTATTTTTATATTACCTACAGATTAAGCTTTTATTTTATTAATATCTCTTAAGAGTTTTAAGTCATCTTACCTCTATAATAGTTATGTATACATTCTTAAAGTCAAAATCTAATGATAACTAAAATATTATGATGATAAACATGGGTTGATTAATAATTTTAGTTATTTTTCTGTAATTTAAAAATATTATTCGTGGGTATTTAAAACATCTAACGTATAATATTATATTTTTACACACGAAATATTTTTAAATGCAATGTTCTCAGTAAAAATTAATTCAATCTACCGTATTACCATTTACCAATAGCATAATAAATTATTTTAATAACTTTTAAAATAATAAAATATGTAAATATTTCTTAAGTTAATATTGTAGGCAACACTTTTTTTTGAGGTTGGAGGTTTTACTGGGATTAAGTAGTGACAGTTAGTTTAATTATGAAAGTATATTGTGTTACATTGTTTTTACTTAATGGTTCTGCGTATTATTCTTGGATTGAACATAATTTGAACTTAAAAGTAAAAGACATTTTAGTAGATATTTACGAAAGTATTAGAGTAAAAAAAATCACTAATTTACTATTAAAAACCATTTAGATAAATAAACAATAAATATTTATGTGTTAAAGAAGTTATTTAACAATTTCAATCAATTTTTTTTTTTTTTGGTATTATAAAATTAATTCTCATTTGAAAAATGAACAATCATAATTTTTTTATAAACAATAATACATTAGGTTTATTATAAAATATGAATGCTTTTCTAAGCTTTATAATATGCACTAATATGCAAAATTAATTTTTAATAATGACAAATAAATATAATATTATATAATTTGTCTACCAAATACCTGATATGTTTCTAGTCACGTATTCAAACAACTTTACATGTAGTTTATGATATTTTTAATTTTATATAGACTATTTCATATTTAAACTAATTTATTTAACTAAAAGTCAAGTTTTTTATTTGAAAAAATTTTTAAATTTCATTTATATTTTATACTGATAAAATCTTAAAATTTATTAAAATTAATTAAAAAAATATAAGTAAAATTTAAAACTTATATACTAGTTTTAATGTTATAGATAATTTTAATCATTTTTACTCTAAAGCCAAACAAGTTGCATGTGAGCTGATTTTCCCAAGAATTAGTTTTTAAATGCGAAATTATACTGGTATTAACCTTTTTTTCCTATAGATTATATCAATGTTATTTTATATAGATTGGTAGAAATTAGTTTATAAAAAAAATTTTCATTTATTAGTTTCAACAAATCTTTTAATTTTCAATTCCATGTAGTATAATATTTATATGAAGTTAATGAAAATTGTTTAAATAATGTACTAAAATCCAGTAATTCAACTATAATTTTATAGGTCAGTAAATTAAATTTAAGTGACTTATAGCTTACTATCAGTTTATTAAATGTCAAGTGATTGTTTATGTAACCTTTCACAAAAATTAATAATTAATGAAATATGGTTAATAATTTTTGCATATTGAACATTCATCAACATTATATGTGAAATATTTACGCACATTTTATTAATTAAAATGAATAATCAGATAAATTAATAAAACAAATCAAAGAGCCTTTTATTAAATAAAAAAATCAATTACAATGAGTCACTAGTAGACAATCATGCATTACATGTATACAAGGTAGTACTCCTACCTATAATAACATAATGTGGAATAATTTTATTGTAAACAATTTATTTTGATCAAATAAATTATATAAATTTATTAAATCCTAAAATGTTTATTTTTAAAAGGAAATAATTATTATAATGTATTTTTTAATATAATCATTTTAAGATATAAATAATTAATCAAATTTGAACCCCTAGATAAAACAGTTCACACATGTGTGCTGTAAAAAATTTATCTTATCTTCTATAACCATTATTATAACCATAATTTGAATGTTTATGATGAGAATAATGTGAATGTCCATCATTTCTGTCTTCCCGTTTTCTTTTAAACTCTCTTCTACGATTCCAGAATGGTCTATAAGAAGGAACTAATGGTGGAGTTGTACATCCAAGTTTTACTGTAGCAACATAATCTTTATCATCATCTGTATATCGACCTATAAACTCCTTCTCAAACTGCAATAACTTTTCTTTCTGATTCTCTGTTAGTGGTTCATCAACACATTCAAGGATTTTAAATGTAGTGATGTCGTCTTTAATAACTATTTCATGTTTGATATCAAATGATTTTTGATTACTTGGAGATGACATTTTTAATCTGAGATCTCTTCTATTGTAGAAAAATGTTTTGGCACCACAATCAATGAATCAGCATCTTAAACAAAGAACCAAAATTATAATGAGATAAAAAATGAATTGAATTAGTGATTAGATTATAATTAGTAGAAATTAATGCGAAATACAACTGAAAGTAAAAACTTAAAAAATATATTTAAAGAAAAAAATTTAAAACAACAAATGCATGAATCAATAATACAAGATAGTCAACAACGCATAAAAAATATGTATAATATCTACTGACTAAATTTTTTTTTTTTTTTTAATCACTTAAAATCAATAAGTTTAACTTACGTAGTTCATTAATAATACTTGAGATGATGACAACATAAAAACCTTCTTTTGATGGGTATATTTTATCACTGGTAGCCAAATGTAAAGGTTCAAACATCCTTAAACATAATATAGTTTATACAGTACATACATTTATAAATTTATGTATTAAAAACAACTAGTAATAATTACTATATAATAACTAAACATTGCAAGCATGTTTTGATTAACAGTCATTTCTATATATCATATAAAATTTATGCTGATAGATAAAAACATTATTACAAATTTGAAAATAATGACATATTTTAGATTTTGAGTGGAGTAATAAATGTAACGATTTTAAAATATTTATGATTTTGAGGATAGTTTTTGATCTAATATATACTTTAGAGGCCAAAACTTTTTTCAAAATAATCAAGAAAAACATAAAAAAAATGAGGAAAATAGTAATTTAAAGTAAACTTAATTTTATTTTATAGTTGTAATTTAAAAAAATAATAATCATAAATACTTGAAATTTTTACCAAATGTTTGGTGTTTATATTATTATTTCCTATAAAAAGTACATTTTTTTTTTAGTTCTTTATAGGAGTGAGAAATTTTAAATTTTTTTTCTATTTATGTTGATAATAAATTTATAAATAAGTAAAAATGCTTAATAATTGAATACAAAATCCCGCATAAGTTTTTCTTAGATCTGAATAAAAATTATAAAATGCATAGGCACAATTTATATGGATTTAAAGTTCAAATTTTAACAAAATTCTTCAAAATCACAAAAATGTACAGGTTACAAGTACTTTATAGTAAAGAATGTATAAAACAATCAATTGTTTAACTAAGATAAGACAATTTAATTCTATGTTTCTTATGAGTAGTTTATACAAAAACAAAAAATCTAAAAAAAACATACATACACAATTTTATGTATATTTATGATTTAAATTTGGATAAAATTGACATATTTTATCAACAAATAATTATGCTCATTATTTTGTAATAATTTAATAATATTATTTGTGATAATATAGAAATTGTAAGTATAATGCATATTATGAATTTTATTATACCTAAAGAAATTTCCAAAAAATATTTATTTATTTTAAGATATTATCTATTTATACTATTAATATATTCACACTATTTCATGATATTTACAGTAATATATTATTAACTTTTTAAGTTAATAACAATGATAATTTAATGAGGTATAAATATATATTATTAAATACTAATGATATAATAAATGTAATGTTTTTGGAAAAATATAAATAAATTTAATGGATTTATTAAAAACATAACAAGAAATAAATTTATGAATATAAACTGACAGTCGACAGATTGTCTTAACTCAAAATTACCAATTTACCTACCATTTTACAATTCATTATAATATTTTAAACTTTACAATGTAAAATAAGCATTCTTGTCTAAATAACTTTATGTATATAATGTCATTAACAATACTCAGAATTTTATGCGCTAAAAACCAGGAAATATTTGAATATTTTCTTAAGTATTTTAATTTTTTTCACACAAAATATTATGTGGTTAAAGCCAAGTACATTTGAAATATATACTACTTTTTTTTTTAAGACTTTATTCTGATGCTTTAAATCATTCTTGATATTTTAAACAATATTTATAAATGTAAAGTAAATTATGCAATATATAAATCATGAAAATCATAAAAATATTATTAGTATAAATAAACAAATTTAATGTTTAGATACAAATATACAACTCTGTCTGGCAAGAGAACACACAGGTTCTGTGCATCCCTATACAACAGGGTTTTATCTGGCCCGCGCTACATTTTCAAATTGCATTAGGTATAGGTATACAATTTTAACCTATGTCCTATTTCATTATATACAAAATAAATGCTATTCAAAATGTATATTTGATCTTTTTTTTTTTTGCTTTCTATGTTCTGGCCCGCTATATTTTAAATTTCTAAAAATTAGCCCTATAGTAACTTTGAGTTGCCCATCCCTGCTATACAACACTCTAGCATAGTAGAATTAGTTTTGATAGGTAGGTGTCGAGTAGGGATGTGCAGAAACGGCACATTTTTTTGCTGAACATAGTATACATTTTCTAAACTTACCATCCAATATGACGTCCACATTTAGCACAAACACAAACTTTCCAAACGTAACCGGGAAACCAGGAATCTTCAGTCTGCCACTATTAAAAATTAAAAAAAATATATATACTATTATTTATTGCATATTGTGTATAATTTATTTTAAATAAAAATATTATATCAAAGTAAGTTAGTGGTTAAAATTTAGATTATAATAATAAAATAACAATATAAATGAGCTCTAACGATTTTACTTACATTGCCTTTTCCAACACACAAAGTTTTAGATAACGTAAGAATTTCAAATTGTGAATGCAATGAATTCTTTACAGTTTGAACTTTGACATTTTTTAAGCCAAACAATTGAGATACACGACTTTTTGAAGCAGCTGGACTGTCAATGGATATAAGTGATGATAATGGTGAAATATCTGTACCACAATGCCGACAAAGAAAATAGTCATTAACTGTTTTTGATAAGTCTTCAGAGTGAATATTAGTGTCTTGAAACCTGGCTGAGCTCCCGTATGCCAGACAGACAAATAAAATGACCACAGCAAACACCATTAGACGGATACATTGAAATTTCAATGAAAAATTATAACCTAAAATAATTTTATTTTTTAAACAAATAATAAATTACAGAACATAAATTAGTTTTTAGAAATCTGTATATAATTAGTCAGATAAAACCTTGATTTATTTTTGATAATTAGTACTATAAAAGAGACCAAAACCACAAGCTATTAAACTAATTTATAAGTTTTTTTGGTCCTGATTACAGAGCTAGAAAATGCTTAGAGGTTTTACCAAACTTGTTATAAAACAATTTCAAAAAACCAGTTTTCAGCTCTGATATCTTGTACACATAAATAAAGATGTTATTTATAATTAATGCTTATTAGATACACAATTAAAAATTTTAAAATCTATAGGCAATATAAATAAATAAAGTATGAAGTAACCAATTGAATAAATTTTAAAATAAATTCAGTTAATTTGTTGTTTTATCTTTCTGACCTACAAACATTAACTTGTTTTCTGTAAGATATATCATATGTTGATAACTTCAATATTTGAGTAAATTTACCTATTATAAAAAAAAAATAATTAAATCATGTGTTTATATGCTGACTTTGTTTTTGGTATTTCAATTTTAATGCAAGTATAGTATATAAAATATAAAAATGCTCATATAATATAGAAAAAAATTAAAGATCAAAATGAAATAAATTTATTGACAGATTATGTTAATGTTCTTGATTTAAATTTGAAAATAGGTCAATTTACTATAATAATAAAACTAATAACATAAGATTGGTTTATAGCAAAAATTAATTTCATGAATAAATAATTGTTTAATTAATTTATTCTACACTAGATATATAAAGAATAAAAAACAAAAAAAAAATTACTAAATTATAAAATAATGACTTACGTAAAATTATTTGTTTATGATGACTAATATTTGTTCATATCTTTATATCACAAAAGAACACATCATACATTCATAATTAGTTGTTTTTTTCAAGTACTATAGATAATATAACATATTACTTGTATTAAAATAAGTTAAAATATATTTTTAAAATTATAATTGGCAGATATTTAAGACTTTTAACATCTGGATATATAAAATGACTAGATAATTTTTTTCAAGTATTGTACTTAAAAAAATAATAACTTAACAAATTTGAAATTCATATTGAAATGCATTACTGACATGATACAACTAGGTTATTTTTTTTTAGGTATCACACATTTTGTATATATAAAACAGTTTAATTGTTTATATGTCTATTGTTTAATTATTCATTACAACAGTAAAAATTGTTTTTCAGTGGTTCCTAAATTGTTGGGTTTGCTTATACCTAGATTATAGTAATATTCACTTGTAATAAAGAAAAATTGTTTTTAAAGAATATTTTAATTAACAGGATAAAAGCTTATAACAATTATAGCAAAGTTTATTAAATATTGAAATTATGTAATATCTACTATATTTCAACAAATTAAATAATTTTTTAAATCTATGTTATATAATATCTAATCTGGAAAAAGAAGTGAAACATAAACTAGACCTCAAGAATAGAAATAATAGGATCCTACTTACCAATATAGATACTTTACTAGGAGAATATAAATATGATGTTAATGAGATGACTTACTTTTGATTAGGTAGGGGACCTTAATTACTTAGGAATGAACTTAAACGAAAAAATAATATATATACCAAAAAAAAATGAGATTAAATATAATTAACAGATGTTCACGGTTGAAGAAATGTTTACCTCCAAGTTATTGATTTGATATACAAACCTATACTATATATATGCAATATAAAAGAGACGCATAATGACCTATGCATACAAAACATGATCTAGCACTCAGAGATATGATGAACAAGAAATGAGTGAAAAATATTGAAGAAAATAAATGGACCTGTATACAATGATGACATGAAGTTTCCTAGGCAAAAAAAATTTGCAAAAGCTGTCTAATATGTCAAGTCCACGACAATCAGAATGTGGTTGAAATGGGGAGAACATTATCTGGTAAGTGGAAGGTTTACTCATTAAGAAAGCTATAAAAAATAAGTTAACAAGTAAAAGACCAAGAGGCAGATTTCAGCTGAGATGGTATGATTTAGTAAAGTCACCCCACTGTTGATATACAACAGACATTGGATAGTAGTGGAAGTGTTAAAAATAGGGATGTCCTTAATAGATTGTTATGAACATTAAAATAAGAAGAATATTATACTATAAAGAAAATAACAATTACTAAAATAAAAATAATTTTTTTTTTATAAATATTATAATATAACAAATAAAATTTAAATTTGATTCTAGTTCCAATTTAGGTTACTTTAAAGTAATTATTGTGAGTTATACTTGTTAGATATACAATATATGTTCTAACTTTTTCAGGCAGGTTTTCTTATTTATAATAATTTTATATTAAATAAATATTCATTAGGGATTATAAATGATATCAGAGATTGAACAATACAAAATATAAATGAGAATGTAAATAATTTGTTAAACATATTAACATATTTTTTGTTTCTTATAGTATAAACCCTATATTAATGTATCATAATAATAAATGTGCACTAACCAATAATTAACATGGTAATGTTCACAGTAAAATACATTATGAGAAGTATCTACTTTTAAAATCGATTATTTTACTTACACAATCATACATATGATTCAAATTTCAAACACAAATACGGATACATATAGATACATAATAGGTATTATATTATATATCGGTTTCATTTTCAAAAACCTCAGGCTTTAGTAGTTAAATTTTTACAATCAAATCTATAGACAGTAATCAACATTCAACAGAGTTATTTAAAATTCCAAACACAATGTAATAACTATCCTTACAAGATTGTAAACATGATTATAAACCAAAATCAAAGCATGTTCCATCATAAAAATGTCTAAAATAAAAACTTACCATTAATCTGAAACACGCTGAGAAGTAGGAAAACTCAGTCGCGACGATTGATATACAAGATCGTTCGTTGATTTGATCAGCCTCTATATTTCTATAATATTATGGTACAATTATTATTATAGAATAGGAGTTAACAGTAGAATAAAATAGAACATTCTAACACTAAACATTGAAATTGAATTAAATATTATTATTATGATAAATATGTGTATTTAATAATATGATCGCGTAGTGCATACAGGTAAAGCTCAAAAAACCATATAGATTATAGATTATAGACAATCATATAAAATATTATCGTATTCGGCACTCTACACGACGCGTTATCAGGGTTAGCAGTGCTGCCAGTCTATAGTCTTTGGACTGCGCCACTGTATTATAATATTTATAATACCGCCAAAAACTTGTACTCTTGAGTGTAAGCACAGAACAATAGTATAAGCCATAAGGTATTAAGGTCTATGAGTACCCCACAATATTAATGACTTATCCATGAGCTATGCCCACAACAGCCACAATTCATAACAGTTATGAGTTACTCAATCTATGTAACTATTAACAAGGGCTAGGATTTACATGCAAAAGTATGTTTTTTTTTGCAACTTTTGTCAGTTATGTCCACGAATCATCTCATGATGAGATAAACAGTAGTGTTTTTATATTGCATATTCTTGCATATTTCGACTATAAAAACGCGAAAAATGTATGTTTATAATATATTTTAGACGTTTTTATTGTGTGCCAGTATATATTATTGACGCTGTTCTAAAATAGATACCTACCTATATAAAGAACATAATAAGGTGTAACAGACGATCGTTCAGTTTTGAAAATTTTAAACACCATGCAATTGTTTTGTATAATTCATTCAAATATCGTATATAGTTGAGAATATTATTTCATTAACTTTAAAACTTTTTTTTTAGTGTGTATGTTTCAAATTTTTTGACTTTTTTTTTAATGTTAATTACGTATTTTTAATCAACTAAATGCATATTTCACAATTTTTTATATTGTATATAAATCCTACTATATAGCCCTACTTATAACCCTAAAACCTAAACCCACTCGACTGGCAGCTATAGACGGCCAGACCATAGTTTAGGGCATTTACTGTTCATTCAGCACTTTAATCTGCACTTTACAGTTAAACAATAAACTTACTGTTGTGGTCTGTGGGATGGTATCCCCATTACCACCTTACTGACTTATTCAAAATCAGAAAACTTGATCCTACATTTTATACTTCGACCAATCAATCGAAGACAACGAAAAAACACGGAAAACTTCGCAATGAAATGATACAAAACGTTTCCATCACGGAAAAGTTTTCGTCTCTTCTTAAAAAAAGCAAAAAAAACTATTCAGATATTAATCTCAACTCCAAATGTATAGCCGTATAGGTATGCACATTGCAGTCTGAAGATAACGTATTAAAATAATTGTAAGATAACACTATAGTCTAGTGTTTATAAAGATAACAGAAAAATATCATGAAAAATCACAAAAAAAATTAGTCATTGAAGAAACTTTAAGCTACAATAAATTTTGATTAAAAAGTAGGTACATTAAAAAAAAAAAAAAAAATTGTACAGAAAACATTGCCACTCAACTCATAATAGAGAATTTCCTGAAATTGTCTTAGATTTTTACCATTCCTAAAATATTATGTTTTATTTTTATATATCTCAGTTCGGTTGACAACCAGAAACTGTTAATTAAACTAATATTTATTGTCTAACAAATTTAACACTTAAAGGCTATAACACGAGGAAGAGAAAATATTTTCTTTATTCTTATTATTAATTAAAAATAATGGAATAATGATTAAGGACTTGGTAATTAGGAACCTAAGACGCAGACTAACTAGTTGAAGTTCTAAGATATTATTAACAAACACTTGAAATACATTAAAATAATCAATTAAAAATTTAAACTAACTTGTTAGTATTCACCATTTGGTAATAAACTTAAAACTATTAACATTTAACACTTAACAGTATTAAACTATTAATTAGTAAATAGTAAGATTAAATAATAATATGAGACTGGATAGTGGATTTTTTTTTTTTTATCACTGTCGGCGTTGTTGTGCAAGGTCTTTGGTACCGATCAGCTGCTCGTTCAAGTTGTTTTTGTGTTTGATTTTCTATCTTCCGTTCGGTCAACTATCTCGCTCACACACCGCCACCCCGTCCCGTCAAGCGATCTTCGTCGCGCCGACGCGCTGTCCGTAGTCTGTTCATCCCCCTCTCGGTCTACCCGGAGATACGATTTTTATTTCGTACCGATATTCGTTCGCAAAAACATTAAAACGAAACACAACCCAATGCTGTTATTTCTCATCTACAATCTCAACCGCTGTGCCGTCGTGAACGCGTATCGCTACAATATTATATATTAATACATAATAAATTATAGTAAAAACAAATTAAACTTCAGACGCCGTTCACATCGCGCGTTTTCGAATCCGGTACTGTGTTATTATTTTTATACCTACTCTTTCGTATTTTTGTAATCACCGTATATCGATTACTGACATCAAACGTAGCCTTAGCGGTTTTTAATCATTAGAACGTATGTAGTTTTTGCCGCTCACCACCGGTAATGTACCCTTAAACGTGGGCGATCGGAAAAATCAACGTACGCCGCGCCCCACGGCTACCGTGTTCGTCGTCCATGTCATTGTTACTACTTACTTTGCGTCATATACACGCGCCAGTCTGCTGTATCGCCGGCGTGTACAACAGAACTGAAACGTAAACATCTCTGTTGGTCTACCTCTGGCCGTGCATGTGTAATACAGCCATCGGACTCCGGACGTCTTCAACACCATCCCGTGAGTATGATAATTATATGATTAACGTGAGCCATATCCATCGACTAGATATTGGAGAAAATCTGAGTGTTAGTTGCGTCTGTCGCTGTAACATTGTATACAATCACAGTATGGTGACTGGTTGTGTCAACTAACCAATTAAATCTATATTATACCCACTCGATAACTGTTGTAGTACAATTAGTAATTACCCTCATGTTTTGCCGGATCTGATGTTGAGGTGATAAAGTATAATCATTGTACAAACTATATATCTTGTATTTCAGGATGACTATTGCTACACGTGGACAAACCGTCGGATTGGATTCGGCCGATAACCAGACAAACGTTCAAGTAAGTTTTAGTACAAGTTTTGCTGTTTGATTGTGCTGACATATCTCATACTTTGAGATTATGTAATAATGTTTTTCTCCCTCTATAGAATGTACCACAGCAAAATACACAAATCCATAGCGTACTGTCAAACATCAACATTTTGCCACCCCAGACCATTGAGTCACATCAAGTGGCTGAACAAATTATTGAAGAGGCAACATCAGCTGATGACAGAGTTGAAAATGATATGGAAACTAAAGAAGAAGAAACCCATAAAGAAGACGAGGTGGAGGAAGAAGAAGAAGAACTGGTATTTCCCATCATTAAACTAGTTAATCTGGAAGAGAAAATACATAGCCAACGTTGGATTGTACCAGTACTACCCGATCAAGAACTAGTATCGCTATTGAATGTTTCAATTGAATTTTGTAAAAAAGGATTGGATGTCAATAATGAAGGATGCCAAAAGTTTTTTCGTGATGCTATGGTGTTATCATTCACACGAATATTAACCGATGATGCTGTTAACAGCTGGAAAGTAAACATTCAACAATATATCATGAATAATTGTATGAAGTTAGTAGAACTGTTGGTGCTCAAACTTGACGATGACAACTTTCCGTTTTTAGAAATGTTGGGGATGTTGTTTAATCCTTTAAATAAGTAATTATTATATTTTTAACTGTTGCTGAATTTTTTTACCAAATCTTTACTTACCAACAGATTTCATCTATTCAACTGTACTAAACATTCAGATTATATACCAGAAATCGACACAAATGATTTTGATTTATTTGCAAGAACTCCACCTGATTCTAGAGCTCCTAAAGGCTGGCTGGTTGATCTGTTGAATAAGTATGTGACGAGTGAAAAGTTTATGATTTTAACATATACATCTTTCATTGTACAATTTTTTAGATTTGGAGTTTTAGGTGGTTTTCAAAAATTATCTGGACGATTTGAATGTAATAAAGCTTTAACTATTTCAACTATCTCTGGTCTAATTAGGCCATTTGGTAGTTGTTCTGAACTTTTAACTGAATCAACGATTCTTAAATATTTGATGCCTATTGTGGTATGTACATTCTTCAGGTATTTGTAACATGAATTGAATTGTATTGAATTGTATTGTTATGAATTTAAAGGAAAAAATACCTGGTTTATTGGATGTTCTAACTGACGATGAATTAAAAAAAGAAACCAAAAATGAAGGAAAGAATGATGCTATTTCTTCAATAATTAAGGCTTGTAAACAGCTTGCTGTGAAAGTACCAAAACAGGATGATTTAATCAAACAATTAGAAATATTTAGACTTAAAATGTTACTTAGGTAATTTATATATAAATATTTAATTATGATTATTAATTATATGTGTTTTTTGTTTAATATTCATTTTTTAATATAGATTATTACAAATATCATCTTTTAATGGCAAAATGAACGCCTTAAATGAAGTTAATAAAGTTATTACCAATGTCACATATACTCCTCATAGACATATAGACCATGATGAAGAATATTTAACTCCAGAAAAGATGGCTGTAAGTTTACTTGAATGTCTAATATATATAATATTAAAACAATAAAATAAATATTTTTTTATTTATTTATATATATATATATTTTTATTTATATTTAGAAATGGATCAAAGAAAATAATGTACTAGAGATAGTTCTTCGAGATTCTCTACATCAGCCTCAGTATGTAGAGAAACTTGAAAAAATTATACGCTTTGTGATTAAAGAACAAGCATTATCATTGAATGACTTGGATGCATTATGGGCAGCTCAAGCAGGGAAACATGATGCTATTGTAAAAAATGTCCATGACTTGCTAGCTAAGCTTGCTTGGGATTTTTCACCAGAACAACTAGATCACTTATTTGAATGTTTTCATGTAATACATAATATAAATAATATGTAATTTATTATTAAGTGAATACTAAATTATTATTCATTATAGGCTAATTGGACTAATGCTAATAAAAAACAGAGAGAAAAATTATTGGAACTAATAAGACGATTAGCAGAAGATGATAAGGATGGTGTTATGGCTCATAAAGTAATTTAAAATTTATTATTCAAAA